GATTCCTGTTCATTATATCCATTCTCTTTGCCAGGCTACCTAATTGGCTGTTGACATCATCATATCGGTTTTTCAACTGTTGCATATCTTTTTTGATGTTCTTATCTCGTTCTTCATTGGTGGCATCTACCTTGTCCGACATCTGCTGGAGTCTCTCTTCTGTCGCCTTAGCCAGGTTAAAATAACTATCCAGATACTCGTGTTTGTTGTATTTTAACTCTTTCCTTATTAAGTCTCTATCTTCCTCACTACAATTTAGTTTTTTGTCGATCTGATTTAGTTTTGTCATCAGGTCGCCAAGCTCAAGAGCAGCTGTTTCATGATCAGTCGTTGTCTTGTTTTCGGCTGCCTCTTCTGTTCTGGCTTGTTCTTCCTTTAGGTCGGCTTCTGTCGCCTTCGTGCTCACTATCCCAAATGTTCGTGCTCTTCCAGTCTGTGATTCTTCGGCCGTGTTGTCTTTCGATTTCATTCCGACCATCATCGCCAACTTTTCTGTTTTCTGTAAAAGATGTCTTCTTTACTTGAGAGTCGTCTTTCACCGTTTCTCGGGTAATGCCTGTTGTGTCTTCCAACGCGTCTATCGGCAAAAACTCCACGGTTTTTGGATTTTGATCTTCCATATGGGCCATCGGTGTGGATTCCGTTGTCTTCTTCTCCACTTCCTCTACGCTCTGGTCTGGTGTCTCTGGATCGAATTCAATTGTGGGCTCCACCTGTTTGTCTTTAGCACCTTCTCGCGTCTTGTTCTCGGTACTACTCCTCGTGCTGACCATGCTAACTGAAAAGTTATCTTTTGTTTTGCTTGGGCCCATTGATGTCGTTCCGCGCAGCGACGAGTTATATTTCGTGTTTGATCCACTTGACCTTTTTTCGAGCACCGGTACCCTACTCCGTCTCATTATTTCTATTTACATTTGCTCTTATTTACAATATTATTATATACACAATTCTATTCTAAGAATAAAATCTATTATGGAAAAAAAATTTTTTTTTAAAGGAAATATACAACGTGATACAAACCTTGCGAGAAACTTTCTTTATTTGTGTTCTCAAACGTGCCGGGTTCCGACTAGTATTGTTCTGTTTCAATTCTGTCTCAAAACACTTATTGTAATTTTACTTCAATTTTTATACCGTCCCAAGTCTTCCAATTACCGTCCCTACTCTTCTTTGTACCGTCCCAGGCTTCTTTCTACTGTCCCAAGACTGTTCGGTACTGTCCCAGTACTTTCCGTCAGTACCCCAAGACCATTGTCCTGAGAGTACTATCCCAGGACCACTGTCCCAAGACCATTGTCCCAAGGCTAGTGTCCCAAGACCACTGTTCCAAGACTATTGTCCCAAGGCTAGTGTCCCAAGACTACTGTCCCAAGACGACTGTCCCAAGGCTAGTGTCCCAAGGATACTGTCCCAAGACTACTGTCCCAAGGCTAGTGTCCCAAGGCTAGTGTCCCAAGACCACTGTCCCAAGACTACTGTCCCAAGGCTAGTGTCCCAAGACTACTGTCCCAAGACTACTGTCCGAAGGCTAGTGTCCCCAGACTACTGTCCCAAGGCTAGTGTCCCAAGGCTAGTGTCCCAAGACTACTGTCCCAAGACCACTGTCCCAAGACCACTGTCCCAAGACCCCTGTCCCAAGACCACTGTCCAAAGACCACTGTCCCAAGACGACTGTCCCAAGACCACTGTCCCAAGACCACTGTCCCAAGACCACTGTCCCAAGACCACTGTCCCAAGACCACTGTCCCAAGGCTAGTGTCCCAAGACCACTGTTCCAAGCCCACTATCCCAAGACCCCTGTCCCAAGACCACTGTCCCAAGACCACTGTCCCAAGACCACTGTCCCAGGACTGCACTGCCCAAGACTGTCCCCAGACTGCTCTGTCCCAAGACTTCTTTGGCACTGTCCCAAGACTGTTGACAAGTGTCTGAGCGGTGGGACCTCTTTCTTCTCCGTAATGGGGTTTTTTTTGATTCACTGTACCTTGTACCACCACTCAAGCTCTAGTAAAATTTTCCCAAAAACCCTCTCTTAAAGGCCAAATGCTGACCCCCCTTTTTCTTATTTCTTTTTTTAGTTCCCTCTATTTCAGTGTTCCAAGCAACTTGAAACCAAAACCTGTGCGCAGGTATCTTGTGATCACCTGTTCGTGTAAAAACTAAACACAAATCCTCACCAAAATGCGACAAAAAATCCAAGCTAGAAAAAGTAATAAAAACAGAGAGATGAACCCACCTAAAATTCAAAGGTGACCAATGTCTACTTTTTGTCGAAAAAAAAATGTCTGGTACATAATTGCCACGCGTTTTCCTCCCCCCAACTAATAATCTTATTGGGTATCACCAGAATTGTCTATGTCCGTTCCCCCCTACCAATCCGACCAGGGTACCTTCCTTAACTCGAGTTTAAATTTCGATGTCCACCTATTATTACCAACGCGTGTTAATGACTAATGTAACTAAATCAACGATGTCGATTAATTAGTTACTCTAATTTCTCCCTTTTTTACAATTTGCAACCGCCAACCTCTAACCTAACCAGCCCCCCTTCTAACCTCCCCCCCTTTTTAGTCCCCTTCTTAAGCCTAAAAATTACCTTAAGCGCCGGGTGCTTAACCTCTCAAGAGAAAACCGTAGACCTGTCTCCAGGCCTGCTTCAGTAAAAATGTTCCTCAAAACCAGGGGATTTCGCTTATCCAATTTTACACTTATCTCCTATAATGTAATGTGGATTTTAACGATACCCGTTCTGCCCAACTTGAGAACTCGAGAACTGCCAAATCCTTCTTTGCTACTTTCTCACTCGACTGGTCACCTCTTCCAGTCCAGTCTCCTATTGGTTCAGCTCAAGTGCTCCTGAACCACTTTCCCACTCGGCTGGTCACCTCTTCCAGTCAAGTCTCCTATTGGTTCAGCTCAAGTGCTCCTGAACCACTTTCCCACTCGGCTGGTCACATCTTCCAGTCAAGTCTCCTATTGGTTCAGCTCAAGTGTCCCTGAACCACTTTCCCACTCGGCTGGTCACCTCTTCCAGTGAAGTCTCCTATTGGTCCAGCTAAGTTCCAAACTATCTGAAAACCCTTGACAACGCCCCACACTCGGGCACTTTATTAAGGTTACTGGGTTAAATTGCTAGGTTGATCGAAACGATCCAACTTGTAAAACAGTATGGGTATACTATTTAATTAATATAAAGGTTTGATCCAACTAATCTGGTGTCAAAGTCACTGTCTTTTTTCGTTTTATGGTTTTTGTTTTGCTTTTTGTCTTTTTGCTCGTTTTTTTTTTGTTTTTTTTTTGTCCCCCTAGTTACCCCCCTTTACTCGGTTAGCTAAGCCTCGTTCGGAGAGCGTACCAGGAAGTTTTCTCGAGTTTTCTTAAAAAGCTATCACGGTACAACCGGAAGGTTTGCACGTTCCTGTCGAACCGTACCACCGGTACTCTAGAATGGGCATGCAGCCCGAAGCCGTCTCAAGTGGGTTCGACTCCGTAGTCTTGATGTCGTAAACACCCAGGAGCGCCATAAAAACACTATGTAACATTCGTCTACTGTAGTCACACATGAGGCTCAAGAAAAATAGGCCCTATAACCATTGGCTCAAGAGTCAGGGACACTATCTCTTGTGTTTTTCCACCTCAAATCAGTCGGAGCCAATTCGGTTCGCTTGTGACATGAGACTACGACCCGTTACAGCTTAAAGGCTACTACCAAAATATCCCCCCACTCTAGAAATAATAACGTCCCCATACTTAGGTCTCTAGATACCCAAAATACATGAACGCCGTTAAAAACCGGGTCGAAACAATCCGTTAAGTTACTTTTTATTAGACAGTGGAACTTTGATCCATTTCAGATGGATCAACCTAAAACTCGCCTTACCTCAACATAACAATCATAAAACACACTCTAGAAATTTGAATTAAGTACTCACATCGTAGCACGCTCAAGAACTGGGAGTAATCAAGTCGGTCAGCAACTCGAGAATTAAATAATGTAACTAAATGAGTTTAATGTTTATCAGTTTCAACAACAAGGACAAGTTTTAACTCTAGAATATAGTTTCTCGTGAACCATTGGGACACTCAAGCTGTCCACCTTTCCACCGAAGGTTCACTCTAGTCCAGTTCAAATAACAATCCAATCGAGTAATGATAATCCAGTTCTCGGGAATACGCTTGTCTCTGTTTCAGATGGGACAGCTCTACTCTTGTTTTATTGTGACAGAAATTGCGAATAGCAATTTCCCACTGTTTTATCTAGCAACTTTCCCGCGATTGTTACTCGATTGTTCTGATTTCTCTTTTTCGGTTTTCAGTTATCGCGAGAAAATCGTGCATGACAGGCTCCACTCGAATTTTTGAAAAATTAAATTTCACTCCAAAAATAAGTGCTCTTGCTTTTCTCAAGGTCAAACTTCCAAATATGACCGACTGGCATAGATCCATGGCCTCCTTCAGCTTACTCGATTGTTCTTCTTCCTCGTCTCCTAGTTTTCTGATAAGGCATCCGCATTGCCATTGTCGATGGGTCCATTTCAGTATCTCCCGTACTGACATTTTAGCACATTTTCGATGATGCCAAAGTTTGCAATCGATACAGAGTATGGAATACTAGTCAGCGACGATGGGAGCGGTGTGTGTCCCGCAAGGCCACGTAGGGATCGCTTTTGTAGGGATCGCTGTTGCGGGTTCAGGCTTCGTTCCTCGTCGGCCCCGCAACATGGGGTAAGCATCTGTCCGCATTTTAATGCTAATTATGTATGGGGGCAATTGGTAAGTTTCAACAGCAAGCAGATAGATGGCTGCTAGGACTATTGCGTTAAACACAGATTGGGCGATTTCGGGCACCAGTTTCTTTTCAACTTCTTATAATAGGGATAGCGGAATAATAGGGTTTCGAGTCAAGGTTCAATTCCACATCACTAGATTAGGAGTCCAACTATTGTTGGTTCCACTGAGCCATCATCATCTTCGGAACTCATATTCATTCACGTATGAAACTATTTAATAAGTTTATCACAACAATTAGGCTAAGTTTAGCCCGTGTTTAACCAACAACAGTTGGACTACTAATCTAGTGATGTGGAAGTTTATCACAACAATTGGGAGTAATAACGACGTTATCACAGAGAAAGCACGGAATCGGAGGCTCGACCCCCCAGAGACAATATATGGTGATGGACTGTGATAAACTGACTTTTTAGCTACTCTGATGCCATAAACCTTTGAATTAACACCGGTATTATTTGATATTTTAGAATATGAGTAGCTAGAAAGAGGAAAGGTTCAATCCATCTCCAATGAATTAATATAAAACTGTCACCAAAACATAGTAAAATAGGATATTCGAGCCGTGTTTTTAAAAGAAATTATGTAGACTGTGGATCCGAGACCCAGCTATGTGGTTGTATTCGCATGTAAACGGAAGCTGATTAAAAGTCGTTTGGCCGATGGCCTTAACATGGTAACTTCTTACTTAGCCCTAGACAGACCAGAAAATCAACTGGCTAGGTCGATACGGTGAATTTAGGTAACTGACGCCGGCCAGTCGTCAATAGGTACTTTTTCTACGCTCCGTCACTGTGTAGTATTTGGGCGAATGTTACATGCAGTCATTCTTTGAAGCGGATTTTCAAGAAATCTAACCGTATCACTCGAAAATCAAGTAATCTGGGCTTTAAAAGCTGTTGCAATCGCGCAAATTATGACTCATCATCCGACTTCAACTTAAAACATAATATGATGTCAATTTGAATGTTTCTTGACTCGAAATTGGTTTGCCATCAAAGATGAAAAAAGCAAATATGAAAATTGTCAACTCAAAGAAAACCCAAGAACAATAGAAAATATTACTTAGTTGAAAGATATAACAGTAAATACCTGGAAGTTTTTTTTTCAATTGATCAGCAAAAATTTGGTACAAATTTCATCAAAATATATCCTCAGATGACGTACTGTCTTCAAAAAAAATGTAAGGTTTAAGAATCACTTTATTTATCTCTATTTAAGGAAATTTATACTGAAAACCTATGCTAAACTGTCATGGAAAGACTTCAACTGATTTGAGTTTTCTTCATTGTCTTGTTAATACTTATGTGTTGCTATTGTATAATTATGTGTAATTTGAAAATATGTAAAAATAGAAGTAAAATGTGAAGCTGACTTACACCACTTGCCTCTTGAAATTTATTTCACACTGCTAATAAAGTGTTCTTTTTACTGTATCATCATCTCGGAAAAACGCATGGATAAAAACAAGCGTAATAAGATATTTGACAAATTTAGATTCATATGTAAAACCATGGACTTGAATCTTCTACTTTTTTCTTCTGCTAAAACCTTAGCGAATGATTTGGAAAAAGTTCAGGTAACTTTACCTGCAAATACAGCTGTCAACGGGCGGCAACTTGCAGAAATTATTTACCAACAGCATCCTTTCTTGCTGCCGTTGAAAGGAAAATGCATGTTGGCAGTGGATTTGCGTTACATTGAAAATCTAGATGAACCTCTTGAGTTGACACAGGCATCTGAGCTTGTTTTCATTCCTCCTGTCAGCGGAGGTTGATTCCAATACTACGAGAATTAAGTATTGGCTCTTTCGTGCTATCTATGTAATCTCCAAAGCAAAAACGTACTTCAGTTTCATTAAAATAGTATCGTTCATCTATACTCCAGCATTTTTGTTGAATCTATTTTTTAAATAACTACTTATAGCAGCGGATAAGGTGTCACTAACAGCCGAGGCAAATTCGAAATTAGTAATTGGATTTCACGAAGAAGTGTACTATAAATTTAGCATTTTTACCCTTGCGATAAGATTGGGTATTGTAATCGGGTACTAGACTTTTTCCCCGTAAATATCTTTGTTCACAGAATGGTCAAAGTTAGAAGTGGTTTATTTAGGTTCAGTTCATGTTGAGATCTAATTTCGTTGTGTCTCCGGCACACCTGGCCTGGAGGTAACGAATACGCCTGGGACAGCAATGGTGGGTTCGAAACTGACAGGACCTGTTTTTTTTTTCAAACGGGAAATATTCAGTTTCAAAAAATGTCGGCTTTTTATTTGTCTGCTATGTTTTGGCGTCTTAGTTGCCACATCGTTTAGATGTTATTTTTTGCTGTACGCTTTTCACATTGTAGTTGCTTTTAGTGTTTGATTCATTTGCTGTTTGTAATTTCTTGAATTCATATATTTTTCTTTGTTTTTCGCTTAAAACTTGATTCTGCCCAAATGATTTCGACTTAAATATGAAACGTCTGAAAACTCAGCGGATGCTGTACTCTATAAAACCAACATCCTACAGGAAGCAAAAGGTTCTAGAGCTATAAAAGATTGTCCTTGAAGACGCTGAACGCGACAAAACTGACTATCAAAACATTCTGTTCTCAAATCGGATTACAAATTTTTTATTTAAACATTTTGAATCAATGAATAAAACGGCAAATATTCCGATGAATTTCGGCTAGAAAAGACAGCAAACAATATGCAAGACAAAGCTGAGCTCTTTAGTTATTCTTTCCAATCCGTCTTCTCGCATCCAAATTCACAATTTGATTGCACTACTGGTAACCCTGATGGCGCGCCAACTTTAAATAATTTTGCTACCTCCAAGAAACTTATAAGATCGATCCTCGAAGAGACGGACATAACAAAATCGCGAGGTCCAGATACTATTCTACCAATCTTCTTCCAGAAACTATCAGAACCAATGAGCAATGCGCTTCATATCATCTTCAAGGCCATTAAACGAAACAGAGCAATTCCAGATGAATGGAAAGTCGGAGCCGGGTCGCCTAAAAAAAGATGAGAAACATCTCGTTGAAATTATAGATCTGTTACCTTATTGATTTTCTCATGCAAGGTCTTAGAAAAATGTATGAATGTACCTCTCTATGCCCGCTTTGAGAACTTTGTAACTATTCCTCAACATGGCTTTATCAAAAACAAGTCTGTACAAACAAACTTACTAATTATATCTTCGGTATATTCATGAATCCCTTGACGACAAACCGAGTACTGACATAATTGCTTTCTACACCGACTTTGCGAAAGTTTTTGACAAAGTTCCACACACTGAGTTAATCTTCAAATTGAGAAAAATAGGTGTAGGTGGATGCTTTCTCGACTTACTGCTTAACTACCTGGAGAACAGTAAGCACTTTGTGCGGCTAGGGAATATGCAATCAACCAAGCTCAATATATCAAGTGGTGTACCTCAAAGCTCGGTCATTGGTCCACTTCTCTTTTGCTTTTTGATCATTGACCTACCAGAGTCATTCCGAAGTTCTTACGCTGTTATTCGCTGATGACCTAAAATTCATCACAAAAACTGACTCAAACTTGAAATTTACCTTGATCTAAAAAGGCTGGAGAAATAGATAGGCTTCAACAAAATGAAGATATGGAACCCGCCGCAGTCATGAAAGACCTTGGAGTAGCCACATAGATGAAAATCTCAAAAAATTTATTAAAATACTACATTTTGTCAAGCGGAACACCTCAGCAAATACCATTCCTCATGGAAAACTTTCTCTTCAAATCAATGATTCTGCCCATCATCAGCTAAGTATCGCCATGTATCCATCTCACTAAAACATCACTTCATAAGCTAGAAACATTCAAAAACGCGTGCCAAAATGGGTGCTACATGACTATTCGACGAAATACCAATCGCTGCTAGAAAAAGTCAACATGTTCCCTCTATCTCTATTTTTCCAAATTCTTGATCTATTAGAACTTTCAAAAATATATCAAACATCTGCAACCGACATCAAACTTTTGAACTCTTCCAGCAGTTGTCGATCATTAGTGGAGAAGTTCGAAGTCCCTAAAGTAAGAATGTAAAAAGCACGAACTGAGTTCTGCTTCAGAACATAACGAGTTGCCAACTATCTACCCCCATGTGTAGACTTCTACAATCCACTCGGACTTAGAAATCGCAATAACAAATTCTTTTGGGATTACTTCAGAAACAAATACAATCACCACAGTTCCTGTATATGGCAGTACGCATGTGACTGTCACTCATGCAGAAACTACTGGAGACATTGGGGTTCATAGGAAGAGATTCCTCCATGGACACGGAAAATCCAGAACAACAACAACAATTATATCGACTTAGTGACCTAATGGTGATTAGCTTCAAGGTAAATATAATTTTAAAGCTCACAAAATTGCTAAAATCTTAACAGAAATACTAGTTCAAGTTTTTCATGGCCACGCTTTTTTGTTTTTCTTTTTTTTCTCGGCTTGATAGGTTTCCCAAATTATAACAGCTTATTTTCCTCGTGTTGATTTTTTTCGACTTGAAGGGTTTCTGTTAAGGTATTTTCGGCTTTGTTACTGCTTGGTAAATTTTATTCAGATTCGAATTTCACATTCTTTTGTCCTGGCATATTTTTGTTTCAAAACTAGCTTGATTTATTTTGATCGATCTAGTTTTTTCGACAATTTTGATTTTTTCAGTCATTTTCCGAGTGGCTTACTATCGCATGTGGTGTGAAGCGCTGCTTGGCCACCGTGTACATATTGAAATAAAAAGGGCCAGTTTTTTGTCTCTTAGTCTATTTAGTTGTCTGAATCTGATGTTGTACAGATTTCAGATAAAATGCCTCCTCTCCCTGCTCCAGATCCTTCGTTTGTTTTACGGAAGGATAGTCATTTCGAAAATCAAATTAATCACATTTCTTTTATGGAACATCCATTAGAAGGCCTCTGTGTTCTCCTTTCCGACCAATCGGGTAATATTGATATCTGGCAAATTGAAAGCAAGAGGCGGCGTAAGAAAAGTCTGCATATTTTCGATTATTGTCCAAAATTTTCTGGCCAAGTCGGTTTGATATGGACTGAAGTTATATTTCGTATTGGCAGCGAGAATTGCTATCTGCTAACGCAATGCAGAGATGGAAGTGTCTATGTATTCACAATTTCACTCGATTGTGACCTCGAGCAGAAACAGTGTATACGTTACTCTTATAAATTAACCACAAATTTTTGCGCTTTTTGTAAATGCGACTTACTTGA